ACATATGTCAAAACTTGAACGTACCAGATTACTCGATGCAACACTTAAGCTTTTAGTTCATCCATCTGATCTGAATACAATTGTTGATGTTAACAAGATCAGAGATGCAATTGAATTAGGTGATGCTCTTAATGATACTTCACCTCTGGGAAGGATAAAAGATAAATATCCGATCACAATATTTTCAATTAGAGCTGTAAAGGCGCTTCTAGAAAAAAACTATTATAATGAAGCATTATTCATAGCTCCACTTGCATTCTGGTATGAAAGCATACGAAATGAGGCATTTAATGCTGACACAAGATGTCAAATGATGTGGTTTGCATATCTGCTCTTGGTACATCATTGCATTCAAATGAGAGACCGTCACATTAAGACAAATCTTGGTGTTGTCAAAATAGACGGAAACATTTATCCGGTCTATTATATGGGAACTTGGGAAGTTGTAAAGCATCTTACAGCAACAATCATTTGTTTCCAATATTTTTTCAGTATTAATTCAACATTTTTCAATTTTTCTCATTTGACAACCATGACGGAAGGACATTTGAATGGTTTACTTCGCGTCATGGCTCATTTTAAGTATGATTTGTCAACAACCGAAACATCTATTGCAGAATGTAATTTAACACTCAAAATTCATAAAAAATACGATATTGACTGGAAAACCCATTCACGTGACTATCAAGCTGGTATTACATTTGAAGACATTTACACAATGCGTCAAGATTCACGTCAATATGAAATGTGCAAAGAATATGCACATGCTTTGTTATCCAAATGTGGATTTAGATATAATAGTAATTCCAGCGTTGATGTATTGCTTAGTTGGGTGAATGAAATTAATCAATTTCACTCAAAAATTTTAATGTCAACACATATATCAAATCCAATTTCAGGTTATAGTATTTTTTCACGTTTATCTGTCAAAAAAGATGTTTTTGACAACCCAACCAAAAAAAATCACGCAAGAAAGGATTAAACGATTTAGATCCTCATAATGACAAATCTGATCCTCTTGAAAATGATCCATTATATGAAGAAAGCCATATTGCTCAATTATTCCCAGAAAATGTCATTTTACCATCAAATTTTGCCAAGAAGGCAAACAAATTCAGCGATTGTAAATTCTAAATTGAATGAGAAAAATGAAATAATACTAAGCATAATACAATATTCTAGATTTAATTATAATTAGGAAAAAGTTAGTTTTGAGAGTACTTTTCATAGGCATATAGAATGAAATCTTCTGAAAAATAATATCACATAAACTCATATTATTTTCTAATATATAACTATTTTATATAAAAATCAAATTCAATGATCTTAAAAGCGAAGGATAAACCTCAAAATTTACGAATATAATGAGTGGGAATATAATGCTTATCTATCATAAAACCATATGAAATATCAATTTTTGCTTTACGCCTAATTTTTGACGACAATTAGCAAAAAATGTTAAATGTTAACACTCAGTCCATTTGAATATGAAAAAGAAAATTGACTTTGATTAAATGTTTTTATTTATCATGCAATTCTTCTTGCGACCAAAGATTTGAATAAAACTTCAAAAAATAAGATAGCTTAAAAAATAATATACGGTAGTGTTTACTAATAGATGAATAGTATATAAATTCTATTAAAATGGATTTGATCCAAAAAAATATAAAACCAAAAATAATTGTTATAATTTAAATGAAGAAGTAATTTTAAACGATTTTATTTATGATCAAATTTTATATATTTTTTTGGATTAAATCCATTTTAATAGAATTTATATACTATTCATATATTAGTAAACACTACCGTATATTATTTTTTAAGCTATCTTATTTTTTGAAGTTTTATTCAAATCTTTGGTCGCAAGAAGAATTGCATGATAAATAAAAACATTTAATCAAAGTCAATTTTCTTTTTCATATTCAAATGGACTGAGTGTTAACATTTAACATTTTTTGCTAATTGTCGTCAAAAATTAGGCGTAAAGCAAAAATTGATATTTCATATGGTTTTATGATAGATAAGCATTATATTCCCACTCATTATATTCGTAAATTTTGAGGTTTATCCTTCGCTTTTAAGATCATTGAATTTGATTTTTATATAAAATAGTTATATATTAGAAAATAATATGAGTTTATGTGATATTATTTTTCAGAAGATTTTGTGTTCTTCTTCAAAATTTTATTTTTTTATTAAAAAGAATCTTTACAAAATATACATTTACTTTAATTAATATTTAAAAACGTGCTCTATCAAAAGTTCCAAAAATTCAATATTTTAGCTTTTCTGAGGTGTCACTTTTGATGAATTTCTGTTTACAACAGAACAACCTGTAATTAAAATTGAATTCCTCTTAAAATTTAATCCATACGTTAATTTTTAATTTGCTCGGCGAATGCCGAGCTTCCCTACTTCTCTTGTCATTCCTTCAAAAACTCTAATCTCATCGCACTTACAAACATCATGATTTGATGTATTGTCGAGAAATCTTAGACTTGTTTGTCATTTGATTATAGCATTTGAAAGTCATCTCGAAAATCGATTAACAAGACAATTTCCCAAACATCTACATACAAGTAGATGATGGTAAACCCATTAGAGTTGTTTTGCTATGATTCCTCCAATCTTATGATGAGAAAAATCATATCAAAACAGCTCTAATCGAACATTCTACACAGCTTAGCATCCAGCTAGTTCCAAGTAATGCGATTACAACATCAACGGCCAAAGCCTTTCAGAGTCCTTTAATCATTTCTTTTCATCTCAATGTGAAGTGGCCCCAAACGAACTACAAGCTGACGTTACAACGCATTACAACCCGGTTAATACGAGCATATACATTAGAGCTGCTTTGTTATGATCTCCCTCATCAATTGATGAGAGATCTCATTATGAAGCAGCTCCAATCGAACTAAAAACCTACATACAAATGAGTGAAAACAAACTCATTAGAGTTGTGTTGCTTTGATTTCTCTCATCAGAAGATGAGAGATACCAGAACAAAACAACTCTAATCAAACTTTCTACACAACTCAGCACAGTATCAATGCAAAGTAATGCGTCTGTATCGTTAACAAGCAAAGTTGTTTCGGGTCCTTCCATTTTGGAAGAATTCGGAACAACTTTGCGAATTGATAGTTAGTATACCTAAGTCGTGTACTGTGGCACTGCGCGCCTCCGTACACAACTTAGCGGTTTTGACACTTTACGAAACCGTTAATGTATATTTTACAACACAAACACAAACACCAACTTAACCTTAAATATTTATAAAGCCGCCAACCACTTCACCTCACTAATGAAAAAATAAACGTTTTCACAAACGACTTCACTAATGTAAAAAATAAACGTTCTCACTTACAAAAGTATTGCAACTCCTCCCATTGCTGTGCTTCACATAACAGCTCATAATCTTCTGACTCACTTTCTTCTTCATATAGGTCAAAATCACTGTCAAAATGAATGTTAGTAAGTTTTGACAAAGCTAATGAAACACGTTTACCGTTTGTATCGTATGCTTGTATAAACTTTCCATTCTTCATTCCTTCATAAACGCTCAAACTAACTTTACCCTTTCTCCCTCGTATCTGATAGAATGTATTTTCACGAGGAACGAAGAACAAATTCTTGAACTCATGACCGTTGTAGTTTGTTATCTCAATAGTTTTCGTCATTTACATCCAAATAAAAATTTTCAGTAAAATAATAAAATAAACTTAAAAATTAATGATATCACCACCCTCACACGTATGAAAACATAGCACAAAAATAAATTTAGGTGAAGTGGTGAGATCTCACCTCTTTTTTCACCTGTTTTTTCACCCTAGCCGCAAAGCGGCTGACCCTTTGGGTCGTTGAATTCATTACTTTATAACTCTCTTCCTTGGTTTCTTTTTAGTTGCTTTCTTCACGTCTGTCTCCAGCTTAACTGTCTTTCTTCTTCGTCCGTAATGATACCAGTTACTTCCACCAGTCAATGGGTCAAATGGTCTTTCGTAAGGGTTTCCATACATTCCATAGGGACCATACGGAAGAACTACTGGTGGAGAAGAAACATTTTCTTTAGTTCCATCGACTCTATTTAAATGCATTGTTTCACCTTTCATCTGGTCATTAAAGTCTTTTGCATGTTTTGCAAACTCATCGTCCTTTCCTAAAGCATTTTCTGACTCAGTCGCAACCAAATTGGATGCTTTATTTATGAGCCCTATTTTATTTAATCTTAACTTCTTTGCAACCCAGCCTCCAATCTTTCCTTTATTTGCATCTAATGTCTTCGAAACTCTTCCTCCACTCATTTTATTTACTGCGTCATAAGCCCCAAGTGCTTTTGCTCCAAATGCTAATGCTTTTGTTCCCATTGCGCCTAAAGCTGCCCAAGCTACCATTTACACCATATTAAAATCATCTCTCTTCAATTTATCTCATAAAAGTTCTCTTTACTGGAGAAAGTCAATGAAACATAAACATTCTCACGGGCTTCGCCCTCACCGCTTTGCGGTCTATCTAACTTCTTTCTTATATCATCTATACGCTTCAAAATGTCTGAACAATTGCTAACATCTTCTACAACAGTTATTTCATCATGAATGACCTTCAAGAACAAGCTCATTTAATATGCAATTAAAATCATCTCAATAATGAGTCCATCCTTTCCATCTTTAGGTAGCACAACATCTTTCATTGAAGAAGGTTCGACAAGTCTTATGTTAAACTTACTGACAAAGTTTGTTATACTATAATGCTTCGGCGGCGAATACATGTAGTTTGAAAGACATAATATAGATTCTTCAGCAAATTCACTTATACTGGATTTTATAACAATGTTCTCACGAGACCAAATACCACCAATTGACAATCTTGTAAGCAATCCTGCTGAACCTTCTACTGTAAACGTCGATGGTAACATTCCACGAAGGTCATCTATTGACATCTTTGAGTCACTGAATTTAAATATTTTCTTAAAGCAATCGTCATTATCTAACCATGCAATAGCTTTGAAGTTTTCATTCGAATATACATCTGCTTCATTAAATGTAAAACCTGACTTCTTTGCAGAGATGACTTTAAAATCTATTGAGTTTGTTTCAAAATTATATGCTATGGTAACTTCTGAAGGTAATGGATGCCCTTCCGCAGTCAGTTGTTCTCTCACTACCGTTTGAAGCTTTGTGTTAAAAACTTTCATGTCATCTCCTGTGTCTAGGTTCACATACACAGCAATAGGAAAACTATCTTGCTTCTTTGTCTCATCATTATATCTCAAAACATTAAAGTTCTTCAATAATATTGTCCTTCCTGCTGGAATACTTCTAACTTGTCTTATTTCAATAGCTTTCTCACCTCCTACATACTCTACCCAGTGTCTTGGATATTCATAAGTATACTGACTTTCTTGAATTTTGGTTGGTTTCATCATAACGTGTTCATAGTATATCTTTATACTCTTGTCAGTTAGACTCGGTGCTATGTTCTGAATATTTCTGACTTGCATTTTTAATGGAGATAAAATGAAGCATTTAATACATGACGTAGATGAAGACATGAATGAAACTACAGACAAACTTAACTCTTCTCTCATTCTTCCTTTCAGTAAGGACTATGAGTTCTGTTCAAATGGTGTTTATTTCTATTGTGGAAAGATGGGTTCAGGTAAGACATTTAACCTCATTCGTCATATACTCATAACAGAACGTTTAGGAAATGACTCATATTATGACCAAATCATTATATCAGCAACTTCAGACTCTATGGACTCAACAGCGAAAACATTTATGTCAAAAGTTCAAGCCTCTGTCGTTAAAGTTCCAGACAGTGAACTCATTGAATTTCTTCAACGTTACATTCGACGTAAGAGGAAATATTATGCCATCGTTGAATTTATACAGTCAGGAATGCAAAAGACTTCAGAAGAGATGGAAAGAATTATTGACAAACACCACTTACGTCAGTACTCAGGAGTTTACGATATGAAACGACTGACAAACTACATTCTGTCAAAACTTTCAAAATACCCCTTCAAAAAGTATCCTTCAAACACTCTGCTCGTTTGTGACGACTTCGCCGGAAAAGGTTTAGTGTCAAAACCAGACTCACCATTAGCTAACATCATAACTAAAGTCAGACATTACCACTTAACTGTAGCAATACTTATGCAAACATGGCGTTTTCTTGCTTTAAACATAAAACGTCTCATAACTGACTTCGTTATCTTTCAAGGTTTCTCACGTTATGACATTGAACTCATTTGGAAACAGTCAGGTATAACATTACCTTTTGAAGAAATTTGGGAAGCATATAAGTCTCTCATCTCTCCTCGTTCATACCTTGAGATTCATATCATGACTAATACCATTAAAGTCAAAAATATTCCATGGGAACGACCAACATTGTTTTAAAGTTTAACCTTCAATTGACTGATGGTAAACAAATTCCATGCATCTCTGTCGCCATTTCTGTTAATATTTTTGCTGTCATTCATATCATCCACTTCCCCATCCGTTAACTTTTGAGGATATGCGTTAGAATAGCTGTTCTTAAATGAAGGCTTTTCACCTTTTAGCGCATAAACTCTATAACTTTCTGCATACTTTATGTTTGAACCTCCTGAGCCATCATTGACATAAATTTTTATAGGCTTCCACCCTTTGTTCATGTTCCTGCTTCTTCCCTTAGCTCTTTTGTTCAGTAGTTCTACATCTTTATACACAGCACCTGTCTCAGTGAATTCAACAATATTTTCATTCGTTAGCTTTACATTCAAACCCTTGTCGAGTATATTGTTCATTTCATACATATAAAAGGTTTTTATTCTATATGAAATGAGAAGCAAATCCATCTTAGCTGGTGCCGTTAATGTTCCAATTGAACCAACATCAAATGTTGACTCACGAACGACAAACAATATTGTCATAAAGAACTATAGTTCGGAGTGTTTGAAAGAAAAAGAACCAGAACTTAAGTCGGGAGGGCTCAAAGAGCCCATCTTGGCGCATGGCGCCGTGAATTTAAACTCAGCTTCAAACGCTAACGCTACATCAGATGTTAAGTTAGAGTATCCACCACTGGACCAAATTCTTTCAAGAGAAGCCAACGACAACCCTTACACAAATGTTCAAACAAATCCTTCAGATAACGTAGACCATTACCTTCTTCAGTTATATCAAACTATCTTACTCAAAGACGATAAGAAGCTTTTGACAAATCTTATAAGCAAGAACCAAATAATTCTAACAAAGGAGGACCTTGAAAATGTTATATCACGAATAACAGGGAAACAATGTGTCATTGACTATCTCGACCCTGAAATCGAATGCTGTGGTCAAACGCCACCATTCATGAAAATAGGTAACATCCGCATCATTGAAATACCAGGTACTCCAGGAGTTGAGTTTAAGTATAAATATTCGAACGAGTATACAAAACTTTCAACAGAATATAAATTATGTTTGAAATATGTTTTAGTAAATTAAAGCAGTCAGGAGGGCTCTTTGAGCCCATCTTGGCGCTTTGCGCCGTTAGTCAAAAAAATTTCAAGTTAGCAATTTGTAATATCTATCCAAAACTTCTTCAACAGTATCGAACTCATCTTCATAATGCAAACCTAATCTTATTGACTTGGTGCAGTTCTCACTAACACAATATAGCGCTTTGCGCTCGGCGCCTTTGACGCCTTTTTCTGTTCTCTTGACTGACATAACTAACTCATTTGTTTCATCAAACAGCAACAACCAAAGTTCATGACCTAATACATAACATTCATACTTTATATTTTTAGCTCTGAGTTCTCTTGTAAGCTGTTGCATTTAATATTTTCTAAAAAGTCTACTTCAACAGTCATTCGCACTGGTGCCTTCAGTTCTACAGGCTCTCCTTGAAAGTCAACTAGTCTGAATTGCATGTCTTTCAAATTATGAGGACTAATGCGAACCCATTTACCTAAATGAGTTGCTATGACAGGAACGTTTGGAATGAACATTGAATTTACTTCATAACAGAAAGACTTATATTCTACTGAACCTTTACTATTAACTCCTGAAATACCTGTGACATTAGCTATTTTTGACTCAATGTATAAACAATTGCCATAACATACGTATGGAACAGATTTCATCTCAATCGTTTTGTCAATACTTTTCAAAGGAAATGTCATATGGTATGCTCCCAGAAGCAATTGAACTCTATGACTCATTCGTGTTATCTTAAACTCCTTCGCATAACTGAACTTCAAAACTCCTGCAATAAGTTTAACATTCATTAAGTTTTCTTCGTTCTCCTTGTTTATTGTAGTATTTATGAGCGCATTTAACACTCCAGCTAATGTTTCCATCTTATATTCTACATTATTGTGAAATCTTATTTCATGCTTCTTTCCATCTATTTCAAACTCCATGAAATCTGTTTCATCTGTTATGACAAAAGTTGCGATAGTATTGAAGTCAACAACTCTGAAAGCAAGCGCTTCATTCTGAAGACCTAAGTTTGTTTGTAGCTTTACTGTTCCGTATTCGTTTGGGTCAGTACTTTGCAAATAGAACAACATTTTATTCTCATTAAAATATGACTATTGCTGCATATGCGTATGAAACAAATGAAGCAAGAAGAGCACATGAACTAGTAAACGAAAACTCAACTTTAACCATTGAAGGCAATGATTTAGTCATTGACGATGGAAAAACTAAAAAAGTCATTGATTTCGATACTTTTAACACTTATGACCCATTCATTACAATAAGTAAAGTTCCTATCATAAATGATGGAACGGTGCAATATATAAATTCTACAGTAGATGCCTCATTAGTGAAAGTACTGAATGTTCTCATTGAATTGTTAAAGAGCTTTCGATTTGACGACAACATTAAATGCCTAAAGAATTTAGTCATGAATGAGAAACAAATATTAGGAGTTGCTGGTAGCAGTAATGATGTACACCTTATGACATTAGAATATTATAACGAACATAAAGATGAACTGAAAGGAGAGAAGGGTGACACCGGACCTCAAGGAATACAAGGACCTCAAGGAATACAAGGACCTCAAGGCGAAAACGGTTTGGATGGAAAGGATGGAAAGGATGGAAAAACTGCTAAATCATGGATATGGGACCTTATAAATACTGGTTTAACAGCTGCTTCATATGGAGTTCTTCAATACCAAATCGGAAAGATATGGGCAGTACTTGGTGAAGAAGCTTTAGATGATGTTAAAAATGCTTTGAACTTCATTTCAAATGGTTCGGATACTATTAAAACTTTATCTGGTTGGATGCAAGAAACAAGGAGTCAAATAGATACTGTAAGACGTATAGCAAACAATGCACGTACGGGATTGGATACTTTACGAAAAGCACAAAATACACTAAAGGAAGCAAATGATATTCTTGGCTCAGTATCAGACATGCATGAAGATTGGCTTAAAGGTATTGACAAATCTTTAAAAAATCACAGTCAGTCTATTGCTGACTACAAGAAAAGTATAGATTTTTTACATAGTGCTATGGACGTACATGATGGAAGCATAAGGAACTTACTTAATGCTAACAATAACTTACCAGGAACTATTAAAGCATTTATAAAGTCCTTTGTAAAACCCGGTGCTCTAACATTTAGGTCTTTGAGAGCAAGAGCATTGAAGTCAAGAGATGCAGAAACTCCAACAGAAACTCCAGAAGGAACTGAAACAACAGAAACTCCAGAAGAACCACCAAAACCAACAGCTAATGAAATATTGTTCGAATATTTTCCAAGGTACTCTGTTCTCATTGCATACATTCAAGAAATACTTAAGAAAGCAGACTTGACTTTAGGAGATGATGAAAGTTCTGTATATCTTTCGTTCCAATTCCAAATAGCAGAACTTTTGAGACAGATATGCTTAATGTATGACAACATCTCTGATTTCACAAGATATGACGACGACCATGACCCCGAACACGGTGAAGAAGAAGTTTTACAAACATCCATTAAGACAGGAAAGGTTTTAACTCAAAGTCTCATTATTGACACCAAAGATGGCGAAGTGGACGTTCTTCAAGAGCTGAAGAAAAATACTTCTTCGGGAGGTGGTGGTAGGCATGAACTTGAAATAAATGAGATAGAAGAGAAATTAGCCGAAAAAGCAGATAAAGAACATAAACACAATATCTCCGATATAAATGAACTTCAAGCTACATTAAATAGTAAAGCGGACAAAAATGAACTTGACGCAACGAACAAAGTTTTGAAATCTCATAAACACAATATCTCCGATATAAATGAACTTCAAACTTCTTTAGACAATAAAGCAGACAAAAACCATGTTCATTATATAAGTTCTGATGAACAGATTATAACGGACTATCATGGATATTTAACACAGGGTGAAAAAGTGAATACGAAAAATGTTAATGAAAGAAGATATAAATTCATTCGTGCTAAAGGTTATGACATACACTGTACTGTACAGTATGACACAGGTATAGCACCACAATCATTTGGTTATAACGCTGAAATTTATGCTTCATACTTCTTTGTTAACGGTGTATTAGTTGAACCAAGATTTACTTTGAGAGTTAAGTCAAAAATAACTTTTGAAGATGCTATTAAAAGTAAAGCTGACAAAACAGAACTTGACGCAACGAACAAAGTTTTGAAATCTCATAAACACAATATCTCCGATATAAATGAACTTCAAACTTCTTTAGACAGTAAAGCCGACAAAAATCATACACATTAAATCCTTCACTACTGTTAGAGCAGACGACATATATATTGAACTATGATTTGGGTTCAAGTGCACCTTTAGAGAATCCGAGTACAAGCGTAAAAGATACTCTTAACAATTTAGATAAGAGTTGCAGGAATATCGAAGGTCATGCCAGAAACTTTGAAGCATATGAACTACCAGCAATGTTAGACAGTAAAGCCGACAAAACTTATGTGGATACAGAACTAACAAAGAAATTTTCGAAACCAGATACAATGACATTTACAACAGAAATTATAAATGGTGAACCAGCAACTCCATTTGAATTTGTTAGAGGTCTTCAACCAGATACTTTTGAATTTTTCTTGGATAATTCTATTGAACTAACATTACATTATAAAAGTGGAACAAATGCAACATTTCATCCGGGAGATACATTCCAAATGGTATTTAATGACATAAGTTCTTTAGAATATGTTTATAGAGTTATGAGCATATATGATTTAATATATCCTATAGGAGCTGTTTATACGTCTATGAATCCAATAAATCCAAACACTTTATTTGGTGGTAGATGGTATGAAATAGTTGACAGTTTTCCATTCTACACTAATACGCAGTCAATGAAGATGGGAGGTTCAAAGAAAATAGGTATTGAAAACCTTCCTTCACATATGCATAGGTTCAGTGGAAGAACATCTGTGGAAGGAAACCATTCACATTCAATAACAAAAAGAGGTTATATAAATCTTGCAGCGGGTTCGAATAGACAGGGAATGAATAGATATGATATCTCAGATGACCCCAAAGATGTTAGCACAGGTATTTTCTGTGGAACTGCAGGAAATCATACACATGTTGTAGCTGGTATTACAGACCCAGCAGGTAATGGAAAAGATTATATGCCTCCTTATATAACAATGCACGCTTGGATACGAGTTGGTTAAAATCTTTAACTTTACATAAATGAGCTTGAAAGAAGTATTCGAACAACATCCATGGAGGTCTTTTAAGAAATTCAATGAAGCTGCAAAGAGTTCGGGATTTACTAACAGAGCTGAAGTGAAAAGGTTCTTTGACAAAAATGTTGTACATCAAACAAAAATAAATCCTTACGACTACTTTTTACCAATTTACTCCAACACTCCTGACGCATACCAATTTGACACTCTCATTCAAAGCAGAAAAGGAGGACATAAACCATTCCTCATCTTCATTAATGTTAACACTCGCAAAGCTTTTGCGTATATAATGAGAAATAAAGGAACTCATGAAGTGTTAAGAGTTTTACAAAAGTTTGTAGCAGAACATAGCCCAAGTATTTTAACATCAGACCAAGACGGTGCATACCTCAGCAACGAAATCACAGAATTTCTCATTAAGCATAACATAACTCACTACACTACTGAAGACCATAACCATAACATACTCGGTATCATTAACCGCTTCATAAGGACTCTCAGAGATTTAAATCAAGAGCGAGACTTTACCGAAGAAACAATGAAACATTTCATCGAAGTTTACAATTCCTCAACACATTCTACAACAGGACATACACCAAATTCAATGACACAACAACAAGAAGAAAAGTATATACAAAAGAAACGAAGTCAAACACAAAATATCAGAAATTCAACACAATTTACTCTCATTCCTGGAACAAAAGTTCGTGTAGTTCTTGACGACAAACCGTTGACAAAGAAACGTTTAAGGTTAAGTCGAAATTATTATATCGTAGACTCTACGCAAGGTAATGGATATCTTATAAAAGCTGCTGACGACTCCATAGCATTTTACCCTCGTCATAAATTAGTCGAAAGTAGTAATGGCAAACTTGCTGAAACCATTGACGAAGCAAAGCGAGGAGTGGTTATTGAAATACTTGACTACAACATAAACGATGACACTTATAAAGTAAGATATGAAGGAGGCGTTGAAGATGTTATACCATCTAAGAACTTGAGAGAATCTAAACCAACTCATCTGGGACCATTAGAGCGGGAGTACTGGAAAGATAAAAACATGCCAGAAAGAATAAGAAAATTCTTCTAAACTTTTTCGTTGGATGTAAATCAGACATGAATGAGAACAGTCATGATATCATTAATGGTACCATTTATTTTAACATAAAGACGCAAACGGACTCTTTGAGTCCTGAGGTCTTTCAGACCGAAGCGGCGAGGACGAAGTCCATGACCAAAAATAATGTTTAGGGTAGATGGTTAGATCTAACCTCATTTCTACCCTCATTTCTACCCTCTTGAATTTTCATGAATTTTCCCGAAATAAAAAATAAAGTTAGTTTTATTTTATTTATTTTGTATTTTTTGTATGTAAAGACATGATTTCAGGGATTTTTTTGACGAAGTGTCAATCTTCACTTCGTCAAAAAATAACAGTTATCTAATGAAAAAGTGTCATTTTTTTGTATTTGACGAGAATGTCGGGTAGATGGTTAGATCTAACCTCATTTCTACCCTCATTTCTACCCTCTTGAATTTGTCATGACTTCTTCGTAAATGTTTTGTCAAGACTTCTTCGTAATGAGTGTAAAGGACCCAAAAATAATGTTTAGGTGAAGAGGTTAGATCTACCCTCATTTCTACCCTCATTTCTACCCTCTTGAATTTTCATGACTTCTTCGTAAATGTTTTGTCAAGACTTCTTCGTAATGAGTGTAAAGGACCCAAAAATATATTTTAGGGTAGATGGTTAGATCTAACCTCATTTCTACCCTCATTTCTACCCTCATTTCTACCCTCTTGAATTTTCATGAATTTTCCCGAAATAAAAAATAAAGTTAGTTTTATTTTTTTTATTTTTTTTATTTTGTATAAAAGATATGATTTCAACAATCGGCACAACAACAATTCAAACAACAGCACCAAACTCGTTAGTCATGAATCCAACATCTATGTTAGTAGAGATGAAAAGCTTCATTCCTTCTTCATATACTTTTGAAACAGAAATCCAGAAGATAAAGCAAGAACTTTTAACAAGTAATTTAGACTGTACCGCACAGGATGAAGAAAATGAACAGTATCTTTACGACATGCAGGACCTCATCGACCATTTACCCAAATTGCCTGAAATCCAACAACAAAAGCTCACTATTCCTGAATTCGATGAAATAGAAGTGAAACCAACTGACTCAGTAGAAATAAAGAAGTTCATACGAAAGGTAAACTATGAGTTTCTAGGATATCATTGCAACCATAAGGTTATGGACAAAGATTGCGACATGGTATATAAGAACATCTCTGACATATATAAATCTGAAGAATTTAAGACCTACGACAACTTTGTTTCGTTAGTTGCTGAATGTGTATGGCAGATAAGAGATAAAGATAGAAGAGGTAAAATATGGAACGAACAAATAAAACCAGCAACTTTTGAATTTAAGAAAACCATTGACGCTATAGTTGTACTTGCAGGACAAATTTCAATGTATAACGCAAAAATGAACCCGCAATGTTCTAAATGTAAAGCAGCAATGAGGAGATATAACTACTCCGTCAAAGAGATAGAACGTATGAGAAACGACTATGCAGACTTAAAGAAAGAAGCAGAAAAACCAGCAGAAGATAAAATGGACATGTTAGCATTTCTGAACAAAAACTATCCAACTGCTGACGATTTCCTATTATCTGATTATAGATCCGTATTTTTCCCAAGTGAGCGGGGTATCTCCAATCCCAGCCCTATCGTCCTCCCAGTGTCAGTTTTCAATATAAAATCCAAATTTTTTTTGAAAATAAAAATTTCGAGAAATTTTTCTAATTTTTTTTCTTTGATTTCAATAATTCAAAATAAATTTGGGAGTAAAAAGACACTATTTAATGAAATTCATATGAGTGAATGTGGATAAATACTCTCAAAACATACAATTTATCTATTTTTTCTTTATATTATCAACTAATTAGTGATAATTTTTTTTGAATCAGATTTTTTTTCATTAAAAACATAATATATAACACAACAATGATGCACACATACGTATCTACACATCAAAATATAAAGCTTGTTTTGGTCTGGGCATCCCAACCCAAAATTCTTAAAAAATTGAATAAAATTGAATACTTGGGGCTGGGATACCCATCCCAAAACCGAATTGAATTTTTTGAATTAAAGAATAATTTATGTATTTATAATATACATGTGATGTCTATAAAAAATACTAAATTCTAAAAAAATTCAATTTATTCAAAACGTATACTAAGTGATCACTTCATTAGTAGGATCAGCAATCCTACTAAATGGTGAGAACGCCACTAACTCAAAAGGGAGTCCTTGGAGCTCTTGATCTCTTGTCAGTAGAGTTCATAATGAGGCATGGCATCTACTGATTAGAGATCAGAGCAATCCTACCTTACCTTCAGGAGCTACAAAGCTCCTAATCGTTACGAGAGGGAGCCTTGGAGCTCCTGAAGCTCATCAGCAGAGGCTATTTACCATTTGGGCCTCTTCTGATGAAAGATGCGAAACACGTCTACGAACCAGGAGCTTCAAAACTTCTAATCCTTACTAAAGGGAGCTTTGGAGCTCCTGAGTCTCCATCAACAGAGTCCCAGATGGTAAATGTCCTTTGCTGATGAAAGATGCGAAACACATCTACGAACCAGGAGCTCCAAAGCTCCTAATCCTTACGAAAGGGAGCTTTGGAGCTCCTGAAACTCCTTTTACTATAAAATAGGACAGTTTTCTTCTGAGGTTCTCATCAAATCTAAGACTTCAGAAGAAAGCTGTCCTATCAATGTATACTTACACTCTCATGGACTACAAGTGTACAATTTTAAGGCAGAGATTATCCGAGGCCTCTCATCAAATGAGGACTCGGATAATCTCTACCTTAAGTAGTCAAATAACTTTTCTCACTATTTAGGAACAAAAGAACAAGAGTTGGAGTACTTTAAGCAAGATTCTTCCGAAATCTCTCATCGAATGAGAGACTTCGGAAGGACCTTGCCAAATCCTTGAACGCCAATATCCTTGGAACTGAGCTAGAACCAGGGAGAAGTAGCATACTACTGAGCACGATGGTAATCTCGGAAATGCTTATATCGCCCCAAGCACAATATTTAAGAAGTCTAACTCATATATACAAGAAGTCAGGCTGAATAGATATTGTGCATATGGTTTGCAGAACTCTCATGATATTTAAAATTCATGTTATCCCAAAAAGGTGACACTTTGGGTGTATCGTCCATCCCAGGGATGCAAAAATCACATCACCTTGGATCTATAATCTGATGTCAAGAAGAAATATAAAGAAACCTTCGGCATTGTTAAAACATTCGATGTACTAAAAGAAGAAATAGAGGCTACAAAACTGTTTAGAGTCTCACGAATTCATAACGTTTACCATGTAAAACGCTTATAAAATAACTGGGGTAGAAATGAGGTTAGAAATGAGGTTAGATCTAACCATCTACCCTAAAATATATTTTTATTGAATTCAGCACAAAATTCTGAGTAAAATAATTTTTAGGGCACGTGTCAAACCGTTGAGTTTTCACAAAATTCCAAAAATAACGTTTACCATGTAAAACGTTTATAAAATAACTGGGTAGAAAAGAGGTAGAAATGAGGTTAGATCTAACCATCTACCCTAAAATATATTTTTATTGAATTCAGCAACAAAAATCGTGAATTTCCTTAAGACAGAAAAAATAAAGTTAGTTTTATTTTTATTTATTTTTTTATTTTGTATGTAAAGACATATATGTCAAACATTGAGTTTGAAACAGTTAGAAAGATAGACAATGACACCAAATTGGTTAGAATAGGTGATTTAAACGTAAGATACTCAAAGAAATACAACAAATATTCTTTGTCAGACATTATATCTCCATCTGGAAAGAAAACACACGACTGGTTAGAAATGCTTCAACTCAGAAAATTTTGACAAAAATCCTGAGCTTATGATATCAGTAAGATTCTATGGAACTACAGCATATCTCATCGACAAAAGTCTTATACCAATAGTTTTGTTATGGATTGACCCAGTTGTTGGATATAACTTCATAACTTATGGTTCATTCGATACGGAACGTTGCAGTGAAGGCTTACTTTACATCGTTCAGAAACCGAAGGACTTCAACACAAAAAGATATAAGATAGGAAGAACATATATATAACTCTAAGATATGACAGTACAGTCAATAGAGTCAAGGTTGTGTTCGTTAATGATATGAGAGCCGCAGAAACAGAACTACTCGAAAAGTTTGAGAAAATGTATGGTGCTCCCATAAAAGGTAAAGAAACGTTTGAAGTAGATGAGATAGATAAAGCTATAAAATTATTTGACGAAGTTGCTGAAAAATACATGTAAAGCGTTTATTTTTGGTCTTTTGTGAAAGATAGAAAAAATAACGCTAATTTTATTTTTATTTATTTTTTTATTTTGTATGTAAAGACAGATATGTCAACAACAGAGAACACAACAACTGCTATCGTTCATGAAGCCATAAATGAAGAATACATACATACAGTATAACAAACAATTGAGACTCATTCGTTCAGTCAAAGATGACATGTACCAAATGCAAAGTATAATGAATGCTCTTAGTTCTACAAAGCAAGCATATCATTGGTTTGAAAACCAACAGGCAAAAGAACTTTTAGAAGAATTTCCTCATATGATTGCTTCCCTCGGAAAACCGAGGGAAGAGATTCCATTCGAAAACCGTGAAAAATTGCCAAACGGTTTGAGAGGATATTATGTTCATAGACTTTTAGTAAATGCAGTTGCAATGTGGGCTTCACCACGTTATGCTTGGAATATTTACAAACTTCTTGACGAACTTCACAGACAAGAACGTGGAGAGCTGGAAAAGAAACTTCAAGCAAAAGATGAAGTCATTGAATCCAAAGACAAAAGCATACAGAAAAGAATACCGCGTTCAGTACCAAAAGGAAAGGAAAAGAGTTATAAGTATATGATATATACTGAAGAGTTGGAGAAAGAAGAAGACAGAGATATGGTTATGTTGCATTTAGTCAGAAGAAACAACAAAAGCTTTTATGACCTTGCTAAGATTTACAAATCTGACAGAAACTGGTTCTATCGTGAAAACTTACCGATTTCAATGACACCGAATGAGCAAATAAAGGAAATTGTCAAAAGTACTCTTCCTCAAACACACTATGACATCAAAGGTTGCACAATACTTACATTCAAAGAAGACTTACCATTACTGAAGGAAAAAATAACAGAATATTTCGATAACTTCAAAGAGGAAGAATAAAAAAATCTAAGCTAATTTTATTTTTTTTATAAAATTTTATCTCATATGAAAGAACATGAATTTAGAATATTCGGAACTCATGACAGAAGAAGAGAACGAACAACATGTAAAAGATTATGCAAAATTTCTGAAGACATACAAAGCATTTAAACAATATCTAAATGCTTCTAAAGATTATGCAAAATTTCTGAAGGTATATAAAGCTTATGAAAAAGCGTATGAAAAGTTTATACATTGGGGAATTGTTGTAAAATATCGATATGAAGACTAACCAAAAATATATTTTTGCTTAAATAGCTTCAGGGTCAATTTCTTCAACCATTTCACTCCTTCGTCAATGTCAATTGAAGCTTCTTCAACCTTTGGTAAGAATTTCTGTATAACATCTTTGTTCGTTATTGTCTTCAGAGATGAAGGATAATATTTCACATTTGTTTCACCCTTCTTATATTCTTTCTGTTCGGAAAGATTCATAGCAATACTGAAGAAGTCAATGTTAGAGTTCTTTATAACAGTATAATGAGTATCTTTGACATTCACGAAGATACTCTTTTGTTTCAAAACTACTGCTAACTCTTGTGAAGTATAACGTTTGCGGTCAATGACAATAGCTAATGGTCTGACATACTGACCAAACTTAGATTCTTTCACAAACTTCTTGTTAAAGATAACATTAACGTTTGAAGCACCATTGAACTCATTCTTGATGGCAGTAGCGAGAGCATTGTATGAAAAGAACTTGCAATCTTGCATGTGTTTCATTAAAATAAAAATATTAAATTATTTTGAAAAATAACTTAAAAAATGTAATCTAATTTTTTCAAAAAAATATTTTTTTATTTCCTACTAAAGATGTATCGGAAGTTGTCTAAGTTAGAACACTCGGAAATAAAACAACTTCTTACAGAAGCTAATATAGAAGTAGCAAAGCATTACGCAACAAACAAAAAAGCACTCGCTGACTTCATTAAAGACTATAATGGTGCAATAAGTTATGATAGAATTCATGAGTTCATAAAGCCGCAACGCGGCGAGGACGAAGTCCATGCAATAGCATTTCCTTTAAATGACGTTGCTATTGACTTATATCATAGACGTTCAGTACCTCATGAAGTAAGAAGAGAAATGTTTGACATAACAAATGCAAACGTTGGTGAAACAAGAAGAAGAGACGACACACTGAAACAACAGAGAAGAGAGATGTTTAAAAGTGCTATAGAACAAGTTCGCAAAGCTAACGATGTCATTCGTTCCATTGACGACAAACCAAAAGAAGGTGAGAGATGGTTAAAGAAAGATGAAGAGAATAGGAAGAGAAATGTGAAGTCAGGCAATAGACTCATTGACTTTAACATCGAAGCTTTAGATGAACCAAACAGAGACTACTTACACAAACATTTCGGTAAGGTTTTCATGAGACTCTTAGAGAAAATTAAAATAAACTCACAACAAAGATGGATGGTATGTTATAAACTTGGTGGAAAGTATGAATGTTCTACGTTAAACCTCAATAATATTGGAACATTACTACATCAGCTCTTGAAGGAGAACTTTATATCAGAGATAGAAGCAAATGCTGCAGGTATTGTTGAAATGCACTATGACTTCTTCTTGACAAACATAAAGAATCTTACCGAAATAAAGATGTATGATTTAACAGAATATGAAGGCTTAACGATGTCAGATGTAAAGAAAGGCAAACCAAAAAAGAGACCATATAGAGATGAAAGCACACTGACAAATGACCAGAAAGCCATTTTGGAAGCTCTTAAGCAAACAGGAAACCCAGCACTTATAGAAAGCTTTTGGAAAGATAATGGTGAAAAGAAGTTTTATAAGAAGAGAAGCGGTCAGTTCTGGAAGTATCTTTGCACATTACCTATAAATCTTGAGCGCTACCAAATCTTCAATGAATTGAACAAAAGAACTGCAGCACTTATGACAGAAGACAATTGTTTCGTTTATGCTTGCATTCAGGCTGGAGTAAATGAAGAAACTATTGACCACATGAGAGAAGTCATTCGTGTTAGAGACTTTCCTCAAAGTAAAGTACAAGAAATTTCTGACGCAACAGGTATAGCATTTAATGTTACCATTGGTTATTTCAATGACTCAAGACATAATGAAATAAAGAGATACATACCAAAAGAATGTGAAACTGTTAGAACTATTGACTTACTTCTTGTTGAAGACCACTACATGCTAAACGAAAGATTACCAATGACAACATATTTCATTCACAACTATATAGAAATTCTCAAAGCTTGTGGTGGAATGAACATTGAGAAACAAATGAAGATTTATACAAAGAGAGAAGATAAATATGTAGTTCGTTATGATAGAACAACACCGTTATGGGATGTTATGAAAACATTGTGGGAGTGCAAATATTTGAACCTATTTCTTATGGAGAACTTTTCACATATACTACTGACTTATATAAACAGAACCTTGCACCATTTAAAGATTTGACATATGCTCCAAAGTATTGTGTACAACTGAAGAAGAAAGCAGAGTCAAAAGAAGTAAATAAAGCTAAATGTAAGTTCATTCCTGAGCACGTTTTCTTTGCTGACTTTGAGTGCAGTACTGATGGCTTTCATAAAGCTTTTAACATATGTTACGACAGTGAAGATGGTTCAGTGAGTGAAAGCATATGGGGTCAGAACTGTGCAACAGAATTTTTGGAACGACTCCCTGACAAGAGTTTAATATATTTTCACAACCTCAGTTATGACATAAACTTCATCTTAAGACACATGACAGAAGTGAAAGGAACTCCCATCATTAAAGGTTCACGAACAATGCAAATAACTGGTTTATATAAAGGACGGGCAATTATTATAAAAGACTCTTACAGTGTTATAAATAAGAAGCTTAAACTATTTCCTGCTATGTTTAACTTACAAACAGGACCGAAAGAAGTATTTCCATATAACTACTACAGCAGTTTTGTTAGCAAATGACAACAGAACTGGTGTCATTTCTGAAGCATGTAAGTTTATCCGGGATGCAGATACATTTATGAAAAACATAGATTCCATCAAAGGTTGCAGAATAGATGAGAACCACTTCGACTTAGAAAAATATAGCACGTTTTACTGCAAACAAGATGTAAGAATTTTAAGAGAAGGTTTTGTAAAGTTCCGCAATGACTTATTGAAAGAGTTTGATTTAAACGTTTATGACTACGTTAGTATTTGTTCAATTGCTAACAAATTGTTTGAGAACAGAGTATACTTCCCGAATGGAAATCTTTATGACCTCTCAAATAAACCAAGAGAATTTATTTCGAGATGCATTCAAGGTGGAAGATGTATGTTGTCAGATAACATGAAACAAAAGAGCAAAAAGAAACTCATTGCTGACTTCGACACTGTTTCATTATATCCTTCAGCTATAGCAAGACTTTATACTTTAGAAGGTATTCCAAAAGTATTGAAGGAAGAAATGTTAAACACAGAGTATCTCATGAGACATTTATTCGATGATGACCAAAAGGAACCCATTGGTGAAAAGTTTATGTCTGGCTTCTTTGTTCTCATTAAGATAACAGAGATTGGTATACCCAGACACTTTCATTTAATAGTTTGCGACCCTGAACTAAATCCAGAACTTAACGTTCCAAGAAGTTCAAACACTTGCTGTCTCATGTATGTTGACCATATAACATTACAAGACCTCATAAAATATCAAGGTGTCAAATGTGAAGTGTTGCAAGGATACTATTACGATGGAAACAGAGATATGAGAATAAGAGATGAAGTAAAGAAGTTGTTTGAGTTAAGGTTAAAGTATAAGAAAGAAGAAAACCCCTTACAAGAAATTATAAAACTCATTCTGAACAGCATTTATGGCAAAACTATTCTATCTCCTATTGAGTCAAAAATAACCATAGTAGATGACAAAGATGCTATAAGATATGCTATAAGAAATTACAACCATATAGTGAAGTTCGAAGGTTTGGATGGTTCAGATAAAACTATTTTCAAGCTAACGAAAAGCATTTGCAGACACTTTAACTTCTGTCCACTTGGTGTTAATATTCTGTCTATGTCAAAACGTATTATGAATGAAGTATTCTGTACTGCAGAGGACATGGGTCTTCAAATATTTTACCAGGATACCGACAGTATGCACTTATATAATGAAGACATCCCAAAGCTTGCAGCAGAGTTTAAGAAGAGATACGGTAGAGAACTTATAGGAAAGAACCTTGGTCAATTTCATAGCGACTTTGCAGAAATAACACCTGGAAAACAAAGTTTAGCTTATAAAAGTATTTTCTGTGGAAAGAAGACCTACATAGACTTACTCACGAATGATTTAAATGAAGTTGCATTTCACTGCAGAATGAAAGGCGTGAAGCAAGATGTTATTGCTTTAACCGCTAATGAAATGTTTCCTGAAGCTATACAATGCTATTACAATGAAGATAAGAACATTCACATACCTGTTGGAACATATGACAAAGACTCTGAGTTCAGTTTAATGAAACTTTACAAAGCACTTTATGATGGTCAAGAGATTGCATTCGACTTATGTAAGTCATGTCAACCTTGCTTTGCTGAAAAGTTCAACTTTTCAATAACGACTAAAACAAGCTTTATTCGTAAGTTGAAGTTCTGAGGTCATTTATTTTTGTCAGCAATGAGGTCATTTGTGATAAAAATAAGCCGCTAGCGGCATGGGCGAAGCCTATGTGGTCATTTACAATACAGCTATTGTAGAGTTTAACAATTGTGCTTCAATGTATAAACAATCTTTCCCATCTGGAGGTAAGAACACTGGGCACTTATGGTCATGAGTGGAGAACATGTCTATCCAAAACTCACGATTGAAGCCAGTAAGCTTTATAATACTTAGGATTTGACAGTGGTGAAGTTCTTGTATGACCAATGAACTCATTTTCAACTCCCTTACTTAAGTTTGAATATAATATAGCTTGCTTTCTATCCCAAATGCCAGGTGTTACAATCTTTGAAAATTCATTTTTCCTCGGAAGTATTGCATCATAATTGAAAACATTCTTGAAGTCTTCATTGGGTTCAGAGATTTGAAACCTTATACGTAATGGATTTTCTTTCTTTTTAGCGACTTCATTGAATGGTGAATATATAACAAACTGACAGTCATGAGTTCCATCTTCATTTTCATTAAATTCATAATGAAAGTCTATAAGTTGTGGCTGACTACCTTCTTCTTTCAGTTGTGCAAGAAACTCACGTAAAGGCTGTAAAGTTTGTACTTCAATATTGAACTTTTTCTCGAACATCTCATTAAATGAAATCATACATTGCAACAATGTTGTATCGTCTTTAAAGTATTTGTATATGTGAATGTTTTGGGCGCTTAAAGACTGTTCGTCATTTTCTATCTCGACTTGAAGTATAAAGTCAACCTTTCTGAAAGCACGTGTTATATACATAGATGTTATGCCAATGTACTTCTCTTCATTTATGTTCACAATCCAGTCTGTTGGAAACTTAAACGTTACTCTGTTCCCCTTTATTTTGACGTCAGGGTTTTCACTACTGAACGCAACAGATAAAGGTATTTGTCTATACATTTAGTTTGGATAAAAATAAACCATTTACTCTTTCTTTGCTTCAGCTTCCTTTGCTTTTTGTTCTTCCTTTGCTTTTGCTTCTTCTCTAGCTTTTTTCGCCAGCAAACGTGGGTTCTTCTGTCTTCCAGCAGCTAATGCAGCTAGTTGTTTTTCACTAAGTTTTCTCTTTGGTCTCTCTGGCTTTTGTTCTTGTTTTTGTTCCTTCAGTTCGGATAAAATTTGCTCACGAATTTCTTTCTTCAATGCTTCAACATCTATGACCCCTTGGGTCTTGTCCGTAGGGCTTGTCTGAGTCATTTGACTGCAGATAAAAAACAAAATTAAAACTTTAACCGATGTAAAATGAGCTTGTCAAAATCAGAGCGAGAGTCTATTATATTAAATGACGCAAGAGGAATACAACATCCTTTCTATTATGTAAGTCAGAGTAAAGATGGTAAAATATACGTAAGAAAAAGAAAGGTTCCATTAGCGAATGCAGAGAGCGACAACATTAAGGTGCATGGCAAGGGTGAAGTCCACGAAGCCCATATAAAACCTTCTGTTCAAACTGAAAAGTCAATAGAACCAGAAGAAAAGAAGCCAGATGTACTTTCAATAACGAACCAAGAGCTTATTGCAAAGTTCGTGAATTTCATTGAAAAACAAACCGAGTCAAAGAATCCTGACCCGCCAGTGAAAGAAGTTGAGACAAAAGAGAATGTACAGTTCATTGAAAATGTCAAGAAACAACTTCCACCACGAATGCCAAGAAGAAGAGTGAGAATAATGAAGTAAATAGATATTTTTATCCGAAGTAAATACATGCAGAACGAACAGTTAAACGAATTTACTCCAGCAGAGCATATTCATCAGATTCGCTCATATTTCGATATCATAGACAATGCAGTTCAAATTGGTGACACTAATAGAAAATATTCTGACGCAAAGATTCCATCACAACCTGGAACTGCTAAAGATAACACATGGGTAACATTCAATCTCTCACCTCCTGGTGAAAATATGTTGGACCTTTACAATACATTCATTACGTATAAAATGGAAGGTCAATTTATTGTAGATAAAGAAATTGGTTCAGGTTCCAATAAAACAAACCCACCAGGATTTTGGATTGGTTTCGATGACGCTTTCTATGCAGTTGCTGGATATCAAATCCTTGCAAATGGTCGTATCGTATATTCTCAAGACAACGCAAGAGAAGAAGCATATATAACTTCAAACTCACAAACTACCGAACAAATAAAGAAAGTAGATGTTTTCTCAAAGACTCGACATGAAGATGTATGGAGTCATTCGGGAACATGCAGAACAGGACAAATTGTTAGTGGTCCAATTACAGCAGGAAAATCATTTGATTTTAAGCTTCGTTTAAGAATTCCTGTTAGAAGATTCCTTCCATTAGAAGCTATTCGATTTATTCCAGCTTTTGCAGGAAACATTCAGCTTAAAGTAAAGTTCAGTAGCGACGCCTTACAATGCACATCTATATCTGTAAATGATATCATTGCTTTCAATCCAACTCTTAAAGTTGCATTTGCTTCAGATTCAAATCCACCGACAAATAAATTTGTTCCATGGAATGAACCATTCACTATGATAACGAAGGCAGTAGAAGCTAGTGGAACAGTTACTATTACAACTGTAACCCAGCAACTATTTCGAACAAAGATGGATTTTAATGAATGTTTCATTCATCCAAAGTCATTCTCTTTAGACCCTAACATTTATACAGAACTTGTAGAACATTATACAAACGAGGCTTTATGTTTTCCTGTTAAAGTTATGGATTGGATTCCTATGGACGGTTCATTCTCAAAGAATACAGATAGTTCAAGTGCAACATTTACAGCAGCTTATACGCCTATTAATGTTAAAAGTATTTGGGCACTATTTAGAAAGAAAGACAACTATTATGTTAATTTTGAGAACCCTAAGTTTAAATATCTTCAGCTTTCCATGGGAGCTTATGGAAATATGCCTGCAGAACCTGAAAAATCATATGGACCTGTATTTTTATGAAATGGTTGCGAACGCCTGCAATACAAACAATGATATGATAGGATTTAATGAAGATGTTATGAGGTCATTGGGTGGATGATGGTAGTGTGGAACATAAATGGGATAGCTATGACAACACACATTTCTTATGTGGTTTTCCAACAGAAGTGGACTTTTGCTTCCAGCAAGGTCAAACATCTACTGCTCCAATAACATACAAATTGTCTGTTAAAGGACCTATTGAACTAGCAACTGAAAATTACCAAAGCCACTT